TGGCACAGTGGTGTCATTATAACTTTTTCTAAAGTTCTCAATTTTTCAGAGTCGAACAGGCTTACTTAGTTTTATAATAGAATGTTTATTACAACTGATTACTTAAATGTTTATCAAAGACTTCTTTGACGACATTTATCTATTCTTTCCAAATTCGTATTGTGCACCCCTTCAGTGAATAATGGCTTCGCCATGTATTTTCAGTCTGCAAAACCAAGGAACAAGCGCAGGATACTTGCAGTTCCAGCTTTGCCCTTCGCGTGCAATTATGAAGATTGATAGATACATTCCCTCCGATCCCATATCCACACCCCTCATCCGGCCTCCCAACAAAGCTCATGCATTTCCTCCTCCCGTCCTGTGCCGCCAAAGCAACTTCCTGCCACACAAGCTGCCCCAAGTCGCTCGAGTCCTTCACTCCTTTGACAAATCTGACAGCTGGCCCGAAAAAGAAGCGAGTGTTTCTGTTTCTCCAACCCCCCGAAGGAGCTGAACAACATAAAGCTTATGCTGGCAACAAAGGGGGTGAATGGAAGGAGTGGAAGGGATGGGCTGGTTGGCTGGTTGGCTGGTTGGTTAGAGAGGCAGCAGTCATTATCAAGCCCTTCAAGGTCTCTCAAGGCAAGCGTCTGCTTTACAGATTTTTATGTTCACGACACGCACACACTCGAGTGGGGGTGGTCTCATATATTTTATGAAAATTAGGAGGGCCTGACTGAGTGGTATGGTATGAAGTCGGTATGTGGCCATAAATAAATGGTCTCCTTTACGACTTTGGACATTAACCTGTTAAATTTCTAATGTGTGTTACGGGTCCTTGGTCTCCTTTGGCGCCCCCGCCCATTCGACTGCCCTCTGCTCCTCCACCCCGCTCCGCCGAAGGATCGTCAACGGCTTGCATATTTAAGCAGCCTCAGCAGCAAACGACTCGGATAATCTAACATACTAATGTGTGCGAATGCCCAGTCAGCCCCCTCCTTTCCGGACCGGTTCAGCTCCGAGTTCTCCGTTCCAGAGAGACCACAAAATCAATAATGATTACATTTGCCTTGCATATTTCACCAGCCAAGAGAGCGGACAGGAGTGGGCTGAGTGGGCTCGGGTGGGTTAAATGACATTTGGTGGCATACGCCAATTGGTTGGCAGGTTAGGTGGTTGCTCCTTCACCGAGTCCCCCGCCTGGTCCACCACACCTCATCCATTCGGTGGAGAGTGTGAAAAGACAAAAGCCAAAAGACGGAAAAGCGGTTAAGTGGCAAGGTAGCAGCAGCACCACCAGCCAAAGCCCTTACAGAGAGAGCCTATGCCTATGCCCACTTCTGCACAACAGGGCAGACTCGATATGACCACTCATTCCTAGCAAAAACGGAATGCAGTGAACTGCAGTCATTTAGGAAACTCTTTCGAATTACCTTCATTCTGAGTAGCGAGTAATGCTGTGCAACTTGGAAAATACTACAGATCAGAACATAACTCCATAAATATGCTCAATATTGCTGGGATATGCTCAATCAATGTTCATATGCTCAATCATTTAAGATATGTAGCCCAAAATAGCACAACCATACTATTTAAAGAACACGCTAAGTCCTCCTACAGAGTGCTCACTGTACCACAACTGTGGCCACCACCAAAAGGGTTGAGTGCTCGGCTCTGGTGGGGCTTCGAAGCAAAAGAAATGCACCGCACTGCCGCCAGAAGCAGCAAAAATCAGAAGATGCAGGCGAAGAGGAACGCAATAAGTGGCGCGCAGGGTCAACGATAAGCGGCGGTAGAGGGGGTGGTGGAGTGACAAGGGGCGAGGGGGGAGGGGGGAGCGGCGACAGGAAGGCGACGCCACTCGATGCAGTCAACGGCCTACAGAATGCAGAATATACTGTGCAACGGCGATGGGTCCTAGCCCAACCAGTTAGAAAATGCAACAAAGTACAGGCCTCAGTCTGCAGTTCAGCCAACGCACACACAGATACTTACACACCACCGTCCCACCCACCGCCCCCTTTCGCCCGCTTGACAGGTTGAAATCCAACGCAGCAGAACGAACGAGCGAGCAAAGCGACGGGGGAAAAGTAAAAGGAAAACGGCAAGGAAAATGCACACAACAAAGGCAAAACGCTGATGACGTTGACGACGAAGGAAGATGGCAAAGAGGAAAACGACGGCGACAAAGCCATTGCACAAAACGGGCCGAGTGCGAAAAGTTTGTAGGGGAGGTGGAAACCCATGCCCAAGTAGAAAATGCAACAAAAGCATGAAAAGAAAAGCGGTACGGAAAACTGGCTGGGACTGAGCCTAACAAGATGTGTGGATAGCTCTGTACCTACAATCATATCTTCAGATTGTAAAAAGTCTAAAGGCTTGAAAAACCTAATGCGTGCTAGTTAAAGTATTAAGTTTTACATTTATAACCAACATGTTAAATTATTGCGCAGTTCTTAATATTTTTCATGAGCGAAAAGCAGTTTATATACAAACTTAACTTAGTCATTTTAGTTACTCCATGTAATTCAATAAAAAAAATAATTTCAGCTCCAATTGGTGGCTATGAATAACCCATGGAAATAATTGCAGTGGGTCGAGCTCGACAATGTTACTCCACCATATTTGAAAATATAGTAAACAATATTACCCAACAACAAAAAGGAAAATCTGGGGGTGGGGAAAGTTATATTGAGCGCGGCACTGAAAAAATAAACGTAAGAATAACTTAGCATTTACCAGTCGTAACTGAAAATTTATTTTAAATGGTTGGTAGCAAATATTTGAATTTTACAATTACTTCGGTGCTAAGAATTTTGAATTAAATGTTTTTCTTGTCCAAATCACATTTTTCATTTAATTTACAATGAATTTACTTTAAGTGATAAGAAATGAACACTCCGTTAAAAATCTCGAATTTCAAAAATTCATAGTCTTTTTTATAGAAAAACATCCAATAGCATATTTGCGATATTAAAATTAACAAGTATGAGATTTGAAAAATGTTTGAAGTAGTACCATACAGAACTACGTCTTCAAAGACAGACATGCCCACAATAAACTGAAATAGTTTTGAAAAGCCCTCTTGGTATTGAGGTGGTGCTTTTTTTAATTTTTGGGACGTTTTACGATTCAAAATCGTTTTCGAGTGCAGCGAGGCGATGGCGGTTTCGTCTTCAGAAGTAATCACAATTGAGTTTTCCAGCTGCAGGCGGTAACAAAAAAGGCGAAGCTGCGAAAGTTTCGTCGGGATGAATTTGTTGCCTTGGCACTGGCTGATAAGACTTACATATAATATATTTCGCTCGTATTATACATATATATGTACCAATATGTACCAAAAAGGAGCACTGGCAACGCCTTTTTGCAAGTCAAACGGTTGGTGATGCGGAAGTGATTAAAGTGGAAAATGGGAATGAGGGAAAAGGGCTGGCCGCCAAAATTGATTCTTTTCCCTGGAGATTGAAGACTCTTATTTATATTGTTTGGCCAAGCGTCATCTGACTTTTCCACGATAAAGATACTCATTTAAATGCTCTTCACACAACTTGGTAACTTACAATGTGTGACATTTTTGACGGCATGAAATGGAATTATATATTCAATGGCGAACAGTGACGGTTGTCCCATAACTGGTTTGTCAGAAACAAATATTTGGGATACGCTGTTGTAATATATAAATTAATAAAATTATCATCTTGATCTGATTTTCCCAAGCTCATGATTTTGATTCTCAGACATAGAAATACGATTTAAAACTAAACACCTCAAAGATTCAATAGAATATCATTTTAACTAAGACAACAAAACTTAAAAGGGAGTAAATATGTATATGCATAGATATTATTGATAGTTCTTCTAACACAACCTGCAAAACACACAATAAAAAAACGGATGGAAAAATTTCATTATAATAGCTCTTAAACTGGGTTCGCAAAATAAATATATACAGTATAATCGACTTGTTCGAAGGCGCGATTCAGGAATAATTATCTAAATATTCCCATACAGGTATCTCCCATTCCTTCCGATTAAAGGTAAAAGTATGAGAATAGTTTTTTAAAAATTTAGGTGTAAAAGGGTTACTAAAACACAGTATAATTTGCAGCTAGAATAAAAGTCCTAAGTGTGCAGAAGACAAGTACGTAAGTCCTTTGTGGAGTTAAAAGGGCAAGAGAAACAACAAAGAAGCGAAATTAAAGAAAACGCGCGTTTTGCTCGAGTCGTTGCCCACGCCAATTAGAATTTGTAAGTCCAACTGGGCGGCGCTTTGCAACACTACCCGACGCCACTCGCACACACACGCACACCAGTGCACATAGAGCCAGTTTGTCTGGCAATTGAACAATTGAGCGAGAAGAGCGACTTGTGCTCAGAGCGGGAGAGGCAACGAAAGACGCGCGTTTATTCTTTTTCTTTGCCAGGGTATAGAGAGCGTATTGGGACTGGTTTTTGGATTTCTGATTTCTTGGGCAGCAGAAAAGCAGAACTCCTTAGGGAAATAGGAGCAAAATGCCTGCGCCTCCCTTAAAATGGTGTAATTAGGGGTGGTTCGGCACCAAAACAAACAGGGCTCATCACATTCCTAACCATTTCCGTATTTTACAGGGTATCACGGCGAATGCAGGCACAAAGGGAATCGGCAATGACAACAAAGAGCGGAGAACGCGAGAAGGCAAATAGGAAAAATAGCGACGGAGAACAAAAATCAATTTTAGTGGATGCTGGACTTATTTTGTTCGTTTCCTTTGTTTCTGTTTCTTTGCTTTCCGTTTTTACACAAAGTTTAAAAAGCTGTATGCAATACACACACACACAGACACACACGCAGCGCAGGCAAACACACAGACAGCAACACGCGACGGCTTTTTTTTGCCGGTTTGAGTAAAGTAAGCTACAGAGAAAATACGCTTTACGGCGAGAGAACGCCTTAATTATGTTTAATTTGTTGTTAATCAAACGCACAGAACGCAGAACACAAAACACCGTTTGGGAAAAAGCTGCAGAGGAAAGGAGCTCACGTTTTTATGCTGCAAATCGGAATCGGTATCGGGTTTATTCGCTTTGCCGGATTGTTACTTCACGTTTGTTAATTGTGTTTCTTTGTTTCTTTATTCGCCTGCGGACACTTTGATTTGCGCTTGCAACTCGCAATTTGCAACTGGCATTTGCTATGCGACAATTGCCGTTATTTCGGGCGTTAATTTTCGATCGCTTGCTTACACACCGCAAATTTGGCTGAACTTGGATATTTGTTGCCGATTTTCTGAGATGTATTCTTAGCTCTGCGAGACTCTAGAGACTGTGCCTTGCGCGACGTAGAACCGAACACCACCATTAATTTTCGCCGAATGAGTGGCCAAAGCAGGGGCGAAGCAGATACACCGATGAACAACGGGACAGGCGGCGCATGGGGGTGGGTACTTGCGCGCGATACGAGGGAAATTCTGGTACTTTTGCGCTTTCGCGGTATTTTTGTTCTGCGCACGCGCGGTCACACCGTGTCTTGGGCGCCACTCAAAGAGCCAGCGACACTATGGTCATCCCACTCGCACCTGCAACTGAGTGAGTTTTGAGTTGACCCACTCGAAAGAAATCCCACTGTTAAGCTTAACAGAAGCAAAAATTCTGATTTGACTGCCCGATCACTGCAGTTTCCCGTTCGATTGCTGAATATGGGTTAAATTTAAAACCCCCTCTTTCACCTTCGCATTCTGGCTCCAATTAATGCAAGGGATTATGGCCAACAACAACAATAAACAAATGCAAATGTAATGAATTGCTTTTCAAATTAAATTATGTAATTAATTTTATGCCAAAACAGCGACAAAGGATTACACAAATATTTTCAGTTCATTATAAATGGGCGAGCCGCAATAACGCCCGATTCCAATTAGACCCGACCTCAGTGGGCGTTTGCATTTCTGATTGGATTTCGCTATTTCTTTTCAACGTCCCCAATGACCTTCAGAAGTGCTAGAACTACAAATGATGCTAAAATCGCCTTTCCTATAAAAACGATTTGTTTAGAATCGATATTTCTAGAGCTATAGTTAATAGACGGGAAAATATTGTACTCTCAGTATCTTATTTACCTAAATACAAAGATTTTGTTTAACGAGACCATAAATACAATTCAAAGTCAAAGTGTTTTAGACTCGTCGAAAAGTATGTAACAGGTAGAATAAAGTGTTTTTGTCAGGATCCCTAATTTAATATTTCTAGCAATGAAAACTATGTCAAAGCAGCCGTTTCTGGTGAAGTCTACGCTATATTATACTATAATATAATATTTTCACATTAAAGTAAACTTTTTCAAGATGAATTTTCAAAAAATCACGATAGAAACAATTACGCGCGGATACTAATAATATAATACTAATAATATATCGGAAACTTTCAAAATACGTATATCTGCAATACTTTCGAAATGATCATTCAATGTAAAAGATTTTATAGCAAAGTTAAGCGAAGTTGAAAAAAAATGTAATACCTGAAAATGTTTTTTAAAAGATTCTTTTCTTTTTAGAAGATTTGTATCAATAATATAAAGATAACGTACAAAATAAATTGATAATTACTTATGCATGACAATAATTGGGATAACACAGTTAAATTTGGTGCAGTTACATAAAATATAAATAATAATATTGGCCTAATATTTTAAAAAGTAATGTCGAAGAAATACTTAACCCAAATAAATCTTAAAGAAATGTCAATGAAAAACTGCTCTATTCTCTATTTTCTGTTTATGCTGTTTAATTATATATTTATATCTTTACTTTATTTTAAAAATGTAGAGATTTGTATTGCAACAATATTATGGCTGCAGCACCTGCCTAACCTAAACAACATAACCTAGAGCCCATCGGAAGAGTCAATTAATTGATTCAAAATAAGAGAACACTAAAGAAAAACATTTTGAAAAAACTGGCACTCCAAAGCGAAAAAAAGGGAAAAACTGCAGCCCTTTGGTAGTGCATTCGAATGGCAGCCCATCTTCCGTTTGAATCCTTTGTCCGTGTGGGTTGTGTAAAAACGATAAGTGCAAAATTTAATTAAATTTCATTTCAGGCACAAAAACCCTAGAAAAGGAAAGCATTGCGCGGCAGTATGCATTGAAGTCCGTTACAAGCGAAATGCATTAACCCCACGAGTTTTAATTAAATTATTATTAATCTCATTTGACTGCGTGCATGTGTGGGTTAAGTCCGGCCGCACCTGGCTCCACATGATAAAAAAGAAAATTCAATTCCGCACACAAACGAGCCGAAGTGAAGGAAATCAAGAGGCAAAAAACTTTGACATGTCCCACAAAATATTCCTATCTGTGCCAAAAAGTTAACTGCCTGTGGTCGGCGGTTAGTGGGTTGTGGTGGGATTGCTGTCGAACAGTTTGACATATGAAATTAGGTCGTCTGAATTTTGAATAAACTCTAATTGTCATGAAATGCGGCTGAAATTGTCAATACAGCCGATTGCCACCGATTCAGTGGTCCGCCCACTCCGCCCACTCCGCCCACTTATAAGCTGCACAATCCACTCATTATCGATTTTGATTATGCAAATCGTCGTTGGGCGAGTCCCAAATCGATTTGCTCCTGGATTGACGGGAATTTTTTCTCGAATCTATCTATAAACAATTTATATTATTTTACAAAGGTAATAAGTTAATATTTAGTAAATCTTGCAGAGTTTCAAGTAGCTGTTTTTAAAACCATAGTTATAGCAGTTGCATTTACTTATTAACAATTACAAATGCACTACCAAGAACAAGTATTGAGTATTCACAAAAGATGTCATAGATTAAAATACGAGTTATCTACGTCGAACACAGTTGTGGTAAATTATTAAGAATATGAATGCTATCCATCCATATTATAACACTCGTCGAGCACAACACTCGTCCTCTCAATATTTCCATTTACCTCCACCTTTCTGTGAATCATTCACCTTTCATAAGCTTAAATTCTTAGGAACGTTTAAATGTAAATCTATTTGAGTTGGCTCCAGTGGCTTAGTGGTTGCCAAGCTGTGCTCGAGCCAGAAAGCGGCAGTTCATTTAACTAATAGCCAACAATTTATAACTAGCTTGACTTGCTCGCCATCCTCTGCAACTGCAAAAAGCCGGCGACGACACACAACTAATGGCCTCTGCCCACCTGAAGCGTCCCGCCCGATTCCTGGGCAGGAAAAGTAATCCGCTTAATGTTTTGCCTATCTTCTAAACTATGTCCAGCACTGGCCAGGTCCTGCAGGAGGAGCAGCCTCCTTATGGCTGTGTGTGTGAGCAGGACCTTCTTCCTCTATCGATAAGTCGGCAGAAGTCCAGAAGGCATGTTCCTTGACGCCTCTTCGAGATGGCCAAAATGCAGAAGAAGCGGTCGGGAGAAGTCCGAAGTAAAAGTGTTGTACAGTGCGTGAAAAGTTTCCGGAGAAAACTTAAATAGCCTCCGAAGACGGGGCACGTTGATAATGTGATAAGCATTTCGTGATGGGAAATAAAGAAAAGCAGGACCTGCGTCTACATGTGGGCCGCTAATTAACTAAATTGCAGACAAAACTTTTGTCTCTGTGCGACTCCAAGCCAAAGCGGCAGCTGCGCGGAAATAGCTAACAATAGAACGAGTCAATACCTCGATGCCGCTGCCATTAAAATAATAAAAAAAACATGTATGAGGAAAAATTGATTCTCTGAACCACTTACTTGCCGTCGAAATTGATATCGATTTTATCCTGAAAAGTGAAAGAAAAGGTGTTAGTGAATAAGTAAGTCTTGTTTTTATTCGATTTATATATTTGACATTAACGCTTGCACTAAAATAATATTTTATTTATTTATTTTAATGACGCTTCATGTTGCTATTCCTATATCTGCCGACTCATGCACTACCCGCAATATTAAAGTTATTTTGGCAGAGTTTTCTGTATCATAAATAGCTTTAAAACTGATAGGCTAGTCAGGCCTCTTTTACTGCATTACAAACTTCCTATTGAAATCAATATACCCCCTGCAAGGGTAAAAGAAAGGTTAACAAATGATTATATCAGCAGTTGCTTGGATAATTCTAAAGTAGAGAAAAAAATGATCAAATACCAAAATTTGAGTTTTCGGATTATTTATTACCGTCCCGTAGTTTCTATGGCACATTTACGAATAGTCTATTCTAATTCTCAAAATTACAACCAATTGGATATGTGTTATTTTCATAAAAATTTAAAAGCTGTTATACATTTTACGTAGAAGCGCAAAAGATCCGTAAAAAGATCTAAAACTGATGACACTTATACTTATATACTTACACTTATACTCAATAGAATATGAAGTGTGCTTCCCTTCAAATTTGCACAAGTAAAATTATAATATCCTCCGCAGAATTTTTAAATCCGGTTTGATAAACAATGAACTAAATTTGTATCCTTAAGTACGTGTATCGTGCAAGTATTTATCATACTTCTAAGCCCACACAGATTGTTTGATCTTATTAAAAAAGAACAGCTTATCTTATCAGTTTCTTGATTGACTACGGAGACCGTAACCCGCTAATCCAGCCCAAATTTTTCCACATGATGTCCTCACAGACTGGCAAACTTACTTCCGGCAGCCCTTCTCGAAAAAAGGCTATCCTGCCACACGCACACCACAATAAAGCTGAGCTGAACGCAAACTCTTATTAAGCTTTAAATGCGGCACCAAAAGCGCGGTGCCGAAAATTTTGTTGCATACTTTGCTGCGCTCAGACTCGCAGCGGGCTGTTTCAACGCACACATGTACGTAAATGGTTGTATATTTAAGGGTTTATGTATGAGTGTATAAACGCTTCGCTTGCTTATTTAATTTGCCACAAAATTGTAGACACATAGCCAAAAAAGTCGAACCAAAAAGTTGGAAGGCTATGAAAGCAAATTAAAAACTTTTTATTTCGCAACTGAGCGAAGTCAAAACCAAAAGTGGAATAATAACAGTTATAGCTTGTGCTGTGGTGACTGTTGTTCTATAGCAGTCAGGATATTTATTTTATGCTACCGGGTAATTGAATGATTTCACACAACGGCTCAATCAATGAGGACTCAAATAAAATTTGTATATATTTTTTCTAAATGTAACTAATACTATTACAAACTCAAAATATTAAACACTCACGCTTGTTGGTTTGAATGAATAACAGGTACATTTAAGGGTTAATATCTTTATTTTATTTCAGAACATAAAGTTGTACGCAGATAAAAATTTGCATTATATCGTTGTGCATATATTTTGTTGGCACACTTTTCTTGTACGTCAGAGGTCAGGGATAACTTCGCAGGTGTCCCCTTGGAATTTCGGTGCGGGAACATTT